CAATTTTGTAAATTTGATATGTAATGATTACTGCTGTTACTGTGTGCGAATCATATTAGGTGTATTCGGATGCATTGTTTCCAACACACCAATTGAAGGTGCCATGCTCAACCATATTAGCTGTGTTCAAATGGATAATTACCTTCTTAGGTATGCATTCCTTCATAAGCCTAACCTATGTCTATATTAGTTTCAAGATTGTTTACTTTAGTCCTTGCTACAAATAATGTTCCTTTCCCCATATGATTTGTTCGGAATTAATTCCCAGCCCAGTTACTTGCACAAGGAAAGAAAAGAAGAGTAAGGATTTAATTTATAATAGGATGAGCATTTCATTTGTGTGGAAGCCTGATTCTCTTATTTAGAGACTACTTCATACTTCAGACCTCTTGCAGATTTGAGTGCTTCCTGCATGTCTAGACTGCATGTTCAAAAATCAACCATGCCATTGTTTGTCTGACCGTCCACACCAACTACAAAATTATTTTGGGAGGATAAATATGGATTAGCGCCATTGCTTGTCTCAAATTATCCTTATTTGCATACAGAATCCTACTAGATAATCATTGTAACAGGATACAAATGATTACTACTGAAGAAAATTCTAGATATGATACTATCCCCTCTATAAAGAAATAAAAAGGATGTACATTAAATGTTGTCCAATGTTCAGAACTGTCTCAAATTAATTTTTGCCCTTTCTATTTCCCAATAACACATAGTGTTTACTAGTTATTACCGCTATTTTCAATTAAAAAGAGAATTAATCATTAAGTGTAAGTCCATTAGTGCATTAACCAGTATAAGCGCTGGCCAATATCGCACTGATGAACACTTTATTCTAATCAAAGTTGTATGCCACTTCATAATTTTGAGTATATAACTATATATATAGTTATATCATGAAGACAAACGCCAACTTTGTGCACTGCCAAGTGAACATACTTACATAAAGCAGCACGTTAATTTTTTCCCCTAAATGGAGTTGAAAAGATTTGATTTAACCTATCCTTTTTCCTTCAAATTATGTTTTTTTAAATAAGGCTGATTTTGATATTGACATGCCAACTTATCTTTTTCTTAGATTTGATGAAACTGGTCCACGTGGACCACGTACATATTCTGACCATATGCTACCTGAAGTTGTGCAGAAAGATTGGAGAACTGGTGCACAGGTGATGTTTTGATATGACTGATAGCCCTATAAAATGGAACTTTATGGTTACAAAAATGTTGCTTCATTTTCTATATAGTGACTCTTTTTTTGGCTTCCAGTAATCCTCTGTCATCCAAATTCAACTAATTATAACAGTTGTTACGGCTTGTCATATTTTTTACAAAAATGTTGCTTCATATTTTGTTGACCATATGCCATTGCTCCATATTTTGTTGACCATATGCTATCGAAGTTTGTTTTATGCTCTTAACAGTTCCATTGCGCTGTGTCTTTGTGCTAATTTGAAGGGCAGTCATGTGTATAGGTCATATTGCAGTATATAGATCCAGCACATTTCTCCATCTTTACAATCTCTCCTCTGCCTCACCTGTGCGCGCGATAGCGTGTGCCCTTCACTAGTAACTCTACAAATTGGCACATGTTTCTTGCTGGTAAGCCTATCCACGTCGGGTAAAATTTTTTCAACCGTTCGATTTGTACAGCCTAAACTTTCTTACGTACAACCTCGATCACGTAACATCCTGCCTAACAAAAAATGAAGCTGTAATAAGAAGAAAGGGAGAGAGGAAAGAAGGCCCATCCAGAAACCCAGGGCCTAGAAGCATCGTCACCTTCCTCCCCTTTTCCATTTTCCTATTTTTCCTTTTCCGCTTCACTACCTGGTGCTGCCTCGCTGCTCCTAAACCCGTCCCCCCTGCTGTTCCCCCGGCCATGGCCTGACCACTGCTTCGTCCCGTTGCCTGCATCTACCGCAAGCTCCTCCTCACCTTCCTGTGCCAGATCTGGTGGCCCGTTCACGGATTTGCCACAGGTCCCCCGCGCCTGGCGTTGCAGCAACCCCGGCCTCGGCAAGTTCCTCATTAGACTTTGTCCTAAATTAAGGACTCGATTAATGCATTCACATTCGTCATTAGACTTTTTATTTATGTTAAATGAGAATTTATGCTTGTCATTGTCGGACATCACCTAAACGGCTTAGTGGTGATTAGGAGCTTATTGATCTACCGGTGGTGATTGTGAGAGGTCAAACTCATGGTGTAAACGATTGTGGGTACTTCACCATGCTGAAGTAGCGAAGAATCAACCCGTAGAGAGCACTTGAACCGTGGATCAAAGGTGGAGCAATACTCTTGCGCGGGTGTGTTGAAATAAAACTAAGACTAAACAGGATCTTAACTTAGCCTAAAATATGATCACTAACTCATCTTAATGCGGAAACTAGTCTTAGATACTGTGGATGCCATCTGTGTTGCTGGAGATGGAGGTCGTAGATGTAGATGACGCAGGTTCACCTCCTAAGGGCTGGGATGCCCTCTGTTGGTGAGCAGGAGGGCGCACGGAGTAGCGGCGGTCTTCTCGACGCCGCCTGATGCCGCCTAGATGGACTTGCACGAGATGGACGTGGGAGACGACCTTCCTAGACCCTCCAGCGCCTAATTGACCGGTTGTGTGAAATATATCACGTGGATGGAGCCGCCAGGGGCGTCTCCTCTTATTTATAGATGCGCTGTGGGCCAGGGGGCGAACCCTAGAAGATCTAAGGGTTGTCGCCGATCACGACAGATCTTATTTAGTTGGAAATAAATTACAGGTAGACAAAAACTTAATGCTTAATTAATCTTGTAATTAAGTTTAGGATTAGCCGAACCGATCACATTCCAACAGGGTGCTCCAACGAGGACTAGTGGAGGGTGCCGACTCTCAGATACCTCGGGGAAACATCGTTGTGTTTCTAATCCTTCTCCTTTATATTTGAGCCATTTACCTTCGTGTCTTTATATTCTTAGGGTTGCTATGCTAGTATAGGGTTGGAACTTGGTTGCAAAACTTTATGAGTATAATAGAAACACAGTTAGACATAAGAGGTGAAATGGGCTAAGCGGTAGGTTTTAATTTCATGACAATTTTAGATTAGCCTAATTCATCTCTCTCTTGGGCATCTTGATTCTTTTTAGGTGGTATTTGGATTTTATTTGGCTGAGTTTTTTATTTTTTTCACTGTCTCTGCTTCCTGCACACGAGTTGCACCGAACTTCCAAAGCTTTGTGCGAAACCTTTGTGCCAAACGTCCATGCAAATATGCATAACTTCCGTGGTCTAGGTTTTCCTTTACAATGGCTCGATTCTCTTCTACTTTGCTTTCGTCGCTTCTTTGAATTTGCATTGATCTACTTTAGGGTCATCTTGTCACTTGTTGACTTGTGTGTCCTAGGAGCACAGAGAAAAAGCATTTTGGGTGGATTTTAGGACATTATTGCACAAATTTGAAATGAATTTTGTTTGGCATTTACCCCATGATTGTTTCGGTCCTTCAAAAACATTGATGTTATGCATCACATTTGAGTTGTTGAGTTCTCCCTTATTCCTCCCGTCTACTCTATTCTTTCTTCTCTTCTTCCTCATTCTTCTCATGTTCTTCTCCATGCTTGTTCTTTTCTTCTTTTCCCCTCTCCTTGCTTCTAGCTCCTACAACACCACGATGTAGTCCTCTTCCCACTCCCAAAATCAGCATCCGCTCTCATCACGCTGCATTAGATCAACAAATTGTACTTGAAACCAACGAAATTAGAAAGAAATTAGATGAAATCGAAGCAATTTCACTCCAACCCTAACCTTATGTGCACGTGACGAGGAGCATGTCCATCCTCACATATCACCTACTAGCCGACAATCACGAGCTCGACTACTGATCCATGGAGACAACACAGCGACGTCCTAGCTATCCACTCGTGAAACAAGAGCAAAGCAGGGCAGGAGTATGGGATCTGAAAATGGGAGAGTACGAGAGGCTATCTTGTAACTATTGAGCAACAAAGCTCCTAGTTGCCACGTACAAATGTTTATATAGATGAAGGCGAAGGGTCTAGACTTGTTTCGGATGTAAGTGAGACCCAAACTATAATTAAGTGTTGTAATGATATACTTTAAAAGTCTATAGTGTAACACACCGAGATACGTTTGAGGACTATACATGTAGTAATGTTCTATCGTTGCATGCTTTGGGCTATTTTTCTACCCGCTCAAATTTGGAAGGTTTGTCATGACTTCAGTATGTGAGCTTAGGAGGCACGCCCATTGGCTTCGTTCGGTTACGTGAGATTGAATCTCGGCCGCATTGTTTCTTTGATAAATTATATAGTGTTGGATTGATTCCTGGCCATTCCATGCTGGGAACGCCCTAACCGAACGGCCTCTTTATAGGAAGAGTTCTAGACTTATATCCTCCCACCTTCATGTGTGTCGCAAATGCTGCCCGCCCCATTTCTCCCTTTCCTGTGCAGAGATAAATATCTCCCTTTTTCATCCAGTTATTCTCGTACAGAGTCCGCGTGAGATAAATATTTTCCTCTCTATCACTTCATGTCATCCAGTTTTTTTTTCACATTCTGTTGTAGTATTTTTCATCAAGGTCCACGTTTTTCATGGCCCATTGAGTTGAGGAAAAGAACCAACCGCTCTCTCTCGCACGCTGAAGAGGAGTGTAAGAGTAAGACTCTCCAACAAATACATTTTATCATCTACTCCCTTAGCTCAAATTTAATTAAATTTTAGTAAATAATATTAGTATTTATGTCTCTAAATAAATTTATAATAAAAATATATTCTGTAATTAATTTAGTATTGTTTATTTCGTATCATAAATATTAATATTTTTTTTTATTAATTTTAAAATTATTTGATTTCGAAAAATAAGAACTCTATATATTTTTTGTGGGATGAATGGAGTACCACCCTACCACGCTTCACCATTTCCAGAAACAAAACAGGAAGCCGGACAAAGGGACGGAAGGAGAAAGCTTGCACAGAATCAGAACCCAGCACCATGGCGGGATCCGCGTTGCTCAACGCTCTCGTCCTCCGCGCGCCATCCCCGTCGCTCTCGTCCTCGTCTAAGCGCCGCAGCGCCGGCGCCTTCGCGTTCCCGAACCCACCGCGCTTCCCACCCCTGCGTTCTGCGCGCCGCGTTGTCCTTGCGCGGGCGGCGGCGCGCCGCCGGGCGCGGGCGGTGACCCCGAGCCTGAGGACGACGAGTGGGGGCCGGAGCCTGAGGGCGGGTCCGCTGCCACGGGGACCGCGGTGGCGGAGGCGCCGGAGGCGAGAGAGGTCGCGGAGCTCAAGGCGCAGCTGAAGGATGCGCTGTACGGCACGGAGCGGGGCCTGCGGGCGTCCAGCGAGTCGCGGGCCAAGGTGTTGGAGCTCATCACGCAGCTCGAGACGCGCAACCCCACGCCGGCGCCTACCGAGGCGCTTACGCTCCTCAACGGCAAGTGGATCCTCGCGTAAGAAACCGTCCCCCTTTTGATCCCGGTCTCTTTCTTCCCCCCTTCAGCAGCTGGAGTAGTACCGTTGTCTCTCGTGGTCGGTGAAATTCATCTGATTGTGTCCTGAACTTATAGGACAAGAGGGCACTAATTTTACCGGAAATTTCACCATAACTGGGGAATTTGTTGCCCACGTCCTTTCTGGCTTCACTTCTGAGTTTGGTACAGTGATTGATAGAAAACTTGTACAATTTGATATTTTGTGTTGTCAGCAAAGTTCCTACAAATTCGTGTTTGCTTTAAATTGGTGAAATTGATCTCATGCCTTTTGAATGCTTATTACAAGTGGGCGCTAAAATCAGCTACTCTGCGTACGGCTTGATCGATACTGAAAACTGCATAGTTTGAGTGGGACAATTATTGTTCGAGTTTCTTTTGGATTTTACCTCTCAGATTGGTATTGGCTGATGAAAAATTGTTAAGAATCTTCTACGAACTGATTCTTTCCTTTTTTTTCCCGAATAATTTCAGCACGATATGGTCTACTGAGAAATTGTTCCGGTCTTTGATTTTTGAGAAAACACTTTAGATTCAGAAATCGCTTTATCCTACTCTAGTTAAACTAAGAGCGTCGGATTCCTTTCAAGGTTCACAATAGAACCCACATATGCTACAAAATTGTGTGGCCCAACAATAAATTTCACTTCTGTGGTTGCTTATTCACCTGGTAAATATTTTGAGCTTGCAGAGCACACATACCTAATTGACTTTCAAGTATGCGGAATGTGGTTTCAGTTTTGTTCTGCAGATGCACAAACCTACATGACAAACAATGTCAGTTGGGTGTTGCTATCACTTTGTTGAGAATGTACCAATTATGATTTTTGGACTGGAAGAAAAAAAATAAAAGCAATTCTATCGATTTTTATTTTCCACTTCACTGCTTTGATCACTGCACATGCAGTCAACATCGTGACTAACAGAATTCTGGCTTCTGAAACTGACCAACTAGAATATCGCACAAGTCCATTGAAGTGAAACTGTTGTTAAACTTACACTGCTGCTCTGCTGCAGCCTTAAGAATTTTAGGAGTCTGATTGATTATGTGATTTCAGGTACACATCATTTTCCCAACTGTTCCCACTGTTGGGGTTTGGAAATCTGCCTGAGCTCGTGAAGGTGGAGGAAATATCACAGACCATTGATTCCGAGAACTTCACAGTGCAAAACTGTATCAAGTTTTCAGGACCTTTGGCTACGACCTCAGTTGCCACCAATGCAAAATTTGAAATTAGAAGCCCCAAGCGCGTACAGGTGAAATTCTGTAGTCTAAGTATCCATTTTTCATCTTCTATGACTGAAAGCAGTTTACCATGACTATTTCAGACACACACACATGCATTGATGTTCTTAAATCTTAATTCCACTATGATTCACAAATTGCTCCCTCTGTTTAATAATGTTTTTCCTGTTGGCATACCTAGACGGCATAATATATAAATATTTAATTTAATGAAGTTGAATTGAATTTGGTGCTTTTTGGATATACAACAAAGATTCACCCAATTTTGTAAAGATTTACTTCTTGTGATTTCAAATATGAGTCTCTGTAGGTTTCTCCTGAATTAAGTATCTTTTGCCTTTGACTATCAATATTGAGGATTCTATATGAACTAACAACATAAGATCAGCCTTACTAGTTCATTATGAACTTTATTTTCATATGTATAATCCTTTCCATCAAAGACTTTATATTTATAAAGATATTGTTAGTCAAAGTGTCATATTAAAGATTGTGCTGATGTCCGAATGGACTTTATTTTTGGTCAGAGGAAGTGCATGGCTTTTGTGTCTCCTAGGTATGAATACTGTGACGTAGTAGCGCGGCCAAAATGTTCATTGAAGTCAAGAAAACGAATAAATTGAATACTTGAATCTCAGAGTTAAATTGAATACTTGAATCTCATAGAGTGTTAGGCTTTTTCGTGCAAGATTGAATACTTGAATCTCATAGAGTTAAATGTTTCCTTGCTATAGTTCAGCTATATTGCATGAAGGAACTAGTGCCAGAGCTGGCTAGACCTCCACTAAATGGGGCCTCTGTTGATCTTGTGGTTGTACGAGGTTGTTGCTTTGAACCCTACCAGGCAGGTCTGTTCCCAAGCAGAGATCTAAGGCGGTTTAAGATCCAATGCCTGGGAGTGCTCACAACACCGAATAACTCTGCCTTGGAAACAAACAAATAGGGCAATGCATGCCTTCATAAACCCACTTGCCATACTTGAGCATAGAGCTTCTGAGTGAACTCTGCTATAAATGGTTCTGACTGAGCACATGATTCTGAATCCTTGCAGATCAAATTTGATGAAGGCATTGTTGGTACACCACAGTTGACCGACTCCATTGTGCTACCAGAGAAGTTTGAATTGTTTGGACAGAACATCGACCTGAGTCCACTGAAAGGCATATTTACTTCTATCGAAAATGCAGCATCCTCGGTTGCAAAGACCATATCTGATCAGCCTCCACTGAAAATACCGATCAGGACAAACAACGCCGAATCATGGTTGCTTACGACCTACCTTGACGAAGAGCTCAGGATCTCCAGAGGTGATGGCAGCAGCATCTTTGTGCTGTTCAAGGAGGGAAGTACTCTTCTAAACTGAGATCCAAAATCCGGATCGTTGAAGATGAACCTTGAAGTAGTTATACTGCTTATGCTTTTCTTTTTTTTTTTTTGGGTGCCGTGTTGTCTTGTGAATACAATTCGTGTCATTAGAGTATACCATGACTAGGACTGGTTTAATCCCCAAGTTATATAAACTCTGTATATATCACCCAAGACGCTCCATGCAAGCTATCCAATATCATACAATTCTATTCTCCTCCATGGTATCGGTCTAAATTCAGAACTGAAGTTTCCGCTTCTACACGTGCCCTCAGGAAGATCGCCATGAGGGTCTCTAGTTGGGGTAGCATTTTTTTTTGAGCTTGTGTTGCTGATCACACTGATCCACCACTTGAGAGTGTTTTCTTGATCACTGATTGGGGGTTTCTCTCTTGCCAGCCCCTATCTAGAGCTCGTGTCGCTGATCGTATTGATGGGCTGTCTTAGAGAGTCTTTTATTGATAGTTGATTGGGGTTCTCATTCCTGCTAGTTGATTAATTGGTGTTTCTTTTGAATTTTCTGATTTAGGATCTGTTTGCCCCGTTCATTTCGCTGAAATTTGGCTTATATTGATGCTTATACTGATTTGTTGTGAGACGAAAACATTATTTGTTCGCTGAAAAATACCGATGAAGTAGTGCTGCAGAATAGGGTGCCCCGCATGTTCGTCATTTTTGTGTGCTCTATTCTACTACAACCTTTATGTTCGACTGCATCGGCATCCTCACCACCTTATGATTACCTATACCATTACCATGGGAACCTCCATCGCCCCAAGAGTACGGCTGCGCCTATAATTAAGTCTCGGTACGGGAATCGGGTGTAGTTGGCTTTCTGGTGAACCAAGGCTAAGGGATGGGAATAGGTCCTGTTCACCCATCAGGTGAAGATAACTACCAATTTAGACGGAGTGATACATTGATCCTACTTCAGATCATAAATTCGAACCCTACAATATTAACATCATGTTTCCTTTAGCTTATTAATCGTATCAATCTGAACAATACATAGCCCAACGAACCAAAAAGTGTCATAGCACCTGGCATATTCTAAATATTGACTTTGTTTCGATGATTGTCGTTGACTTCAATGGAACTCTGATGTGAGACCAGCGCCATTAGAAAGGTTCTCTTATGGATTCTAAATATTGACTTTGTTTGTAGGGCTTCTCCACCACTTCGAAGCCGTTGACTTCAATGGAACTCTGATGTGAGACCAGCGATTTGGGGTGGGATGGAGCTAAAAAAAAAGTGGCTTCCATCCAAGCCCTAAAACATGCTCTCAAAAAAGCCATTTTGCCAAACGGTTCTCTTCTAGAATGAGAAGTCGCCAAATGGTACATGACACTAAGTTAATGTAAAACTTTTTATATTGCAAATAGAACCTAAAGTTTCCGAGCAAGCTACTGTAGTATCATCATGGTACTCCCTCCGTCAAAAAAAGAATGCAACTATGAGTTACGTGCCATCAAAAGTGATTCATGTTTGACTAAATTTCTAGTAAATACTATTCACATTTACGGCTCTAAAATAATTTATTATAAAATACATTTCGTAATTAATTTAATAATATATATTTGATATCATAAATATTGATATATTTTTATCTATAATTGATCAAACTTAAGATATTAAACCATGACACTGTGCTAGAATTGTATTCTTTCCCGAGGAGGATACGTTAGAGGGTACTTTCATAATCACAATTCACGAAATCGCAACGACGAGTATATAAATACACGTTGGCATGCCAAATGGTCACGCCACAGACACTAAAATCTTACAAGTCCACATTCCACACCGGTGCTTTCTTTCTTTTCTCTTCGTTTTCTTCATGTGCCTATCACCCACCTTAGGTCAGTGCCACGTCGCTCTTTCCGTCGTCGACGAACCTCTTCCAGTACCAGTGTTTCCCCCAAATGGTGCCCATGGACTCGAGCGGGATGCCCTTGGTCTCCGGCAGGAAGAGCGCAATGAAGACGGTCATGACGGCGACCCAGGCGGCGTAGTAGGCGAAGGTGGCGTGCTTGAAGCGCCAGAGCATGGCAAGGAACGACTGCGTCTGCACGAAGGTGAGGCAGAGGCCGATGGAGACGTTCATGGCCTGCCCCGCCGACCGGATGTCCACCGGGAATATGTGTTATCGTCCAACTCCGACTATCGCTCCTGCGCGCGAGGCAGCAGGGCGGCAACACTTCATCTTCAACCTCCAGCGCGTGAGCGAGGAAGGTGGACGATAACACATGTTGGCCTAGAGGCATCGGCGTCCCATCGAACGTAGCAGAGCAGGTCAAAGCTTGATTTTTTAGCTCCTCTCTTAAGTGCTACCAAACGCACAGGCTAAGTGAGAAACAGTTCAAGGTAAAAACTATGCCCCGTTCACAAAAGAACGTAACTATATGGTTTATGCCGGTCAAACTAGTTTAAGTTTGATCAAATTTATAATAAATAGTACTGACATTTATGTCTTTCACATAATTTAGTACAAAAATATATTTCATAATTAATCTAATGATACTTATTTTGTATCGTAAATATTAATATATTTTGTACATTAAATTTAATTTTTTTTTACCTTCGAAAAACCTAAAGTGCATTCTTCCGTGTGAAACAGAGGGAGTAATTAAGAAAGGAATAATACATATTCTAAAACATATATTAGTGGTTGCCTCATCTCGTGATTTTCATGCTAAACTTTTAGTTATTTTTTTTTTACCCACGGCTCCCACGGAGAGAAATTGTCCACGGTGGGCTTGGAGACTAAACAAGGCCTAATTAAGACCCAAAACATATATATTAGTGGTTGCCCGAGGTGCATGCTACGGTGTTGTGATTTTACCCACGGGCCCACGGAGAGACGTCCACGGTGGGCTTGGAGACGGGACACGTCGACCCAACCTACAGTAAAGTCACTGTGCAGCGTGTAAGAGGTAACCTGTAGTCACATCACATCTCATCTGCCAGACTGCCTGCCAGGAGCACGTACTCTGAACACACTCACCCTGGCCTGTGCCGAGTGCCGTGTTGCAGTGCTGCTCGTCACTTCCATCTTCTTCTTCTCACCAGTCACGTCCGAGGCACCGCCGGCGAATTAATAAGCGGACTGCTGCACCATGCGCCGTGGCGCGGCGCGTCACTATCGCGTTAACATCGGCGGCGCGGCAGGCCTCCTGCGTAAGAGGTCAACGTTTCTAGTCGTCGTCACCTTAGCCCAGCCCTCTACCGTAGTATCATGCAGGATGCGACACAGATATTTGATCGTGTTAAAGTAATAAGCGTGACTAAAAGTGTTAGTTTAAAAAAAATTAAAAGTGTTAGATTTTAAATTAGTTTTGAAAAAGTGTTAAAATTAAAAAAAATCGCACCATCTGTATGCCGCCGACCATGAAGAGCACCTTCCGTCCGTAGCGGTCGATGACGAGGGTGGAGAGCACGAGGGAGCCCAGGTTGACCGCGCCGAGTATGACGGCACCCATCAGCGCGGCGTTGCTCCCGAACCCGACGGTCCGGAACACCAGCGGCGCGAAGAAGGCGAGCACGATGACGCCCGTGAGCTGGAAGAAGATGGGCACGGCGACGGCGAGGACCAGGTGCGGGCGGTACTCGCGCCTGGTGGCCATCCGGCGGAACGCGCCGTCCTCGCTCTGGCTCGCGGCCTCCACGGCCTTGGCGATGTCCCTGAGCTCGGCTTCCACGTCGGCGTCGCGCCCGCGCACCCGGAGCAGCGCCGCCCGGGCCCGGTCGGCGCGCCCCCGCATGACGAGGCTGCTGGGGGTGTCGGTGAGGAAGAGCGCGCCGACGAAGATGACGACGGCCGGCGCGCCCGCGAGCCCCAGCGAGACGCGCCACCCCCAGGGGACGTGCGCCGTGGCGTAGTTGACGAGGTTGGCGATGAGCACCCCAAGCGCCAGGAAGAACTGGTAGCCCGCCGTGAGGGAGCCCCGCCACCGCGACGGCGCCATCTCGGCCAGGAACAGAGGCGCGGCCTGCAGTGTGGTTTGGCAAATTTAAGTTTATAAACAGGCTCTAATGGGCCTTCAGTAAGGACATCGCTCCACAGATGGGCTCTAATGGCGACTGCTACCGAGTCCAAAAGAAAACGAAGTTTTTTTTTTGGACAATTTGCCCTTTTGATTATGCCCGACCATCGAGCCAAAGACACACCCGAGTCCTGACAAGCTGACTTTTGAACTGGCAACATGCCAACATCCCATTGTTTGGCGTTGGCGATCTCGTGGTCGAGCACCAAGCCACCAAGGCGGAGACCCGGCTCCAGGTCGCGTGCCACGGTGGGGATTGAAAACGGCGTACGGACCCAATAGTCCAAGCAAATTACAGTAGTTTGCCTACCAGGGTCTTGTTTAGATAGCTGTTAGGAATCAGTATTTAACACTGTAGTACTTTCGTTTGTATTTGACATTTTTTGTTTAATCATGGTCTAACTAGGCTCAAAAGATTCGTCTCATAATTTACAATCAAACTGTGTAATTAGTTATTTTTTTATCTATATTTAATACTCCATACATGTGTTTAAAGATTTGATATGATAAAAAGAGGGTAAAAAAACTTAGAATCTAAACAAGGCCCAGGCAAAGAAAAGGCTTCTCAACGAACTGTCGTTCATCTCCCAAGTCACTGAATCTCGCAGCTGTCACACTCACAGCTTCCATGCATGGCACCAACGGTCTCTATCCGATCCCACTACGACAGATTAGGTCACGTTCAGCAGAATTTATAGCTGCTACGGCTAATTTGTAAGATTAATTTACTGTGAAAGAAAAATATTGTTTCATGATTGAAAAAATAGAACTAATTCTGGCCGATAAGCACAAGCGAATATGGCTATGACATATCGATCATTGTTGTCATCCACTCTAGTACTATTTTTTTCCTCAAAAAAGGGAAATTTTCATCCACTCTCTACTCGAGCATCGACACACCGGATAAGACAGTTCTAGCTTTGCACTAACAAAGTCAACAAAGATACATTTTTGGTTCTGTTTGGCTGCTCTAATAAGCCGGCTTATCAATCATGGCACAATGTTTTTCTCTCCCAACAAATCAATCGTATAAATCAGCACAAGTGGCTTATAGACCAGCCGAATAGAGCCTTTGTTTGTTCCCGCGGATCCCACATGCCCGCGTCATCAATCGCGACTATCCAATATATTGGCCAGCACTCGCTTCGCTATGGTGGACTTGGTGTTTAACACCAATTTTGAAAATATTTAAGCAACAATATTTGGCTTGTTCGGCTTCTTTTTTCAGCCGGAACAGTATTTTTCTATCACAACAATTCATCCAGAACAGTGTTTTCAGCCAGTTTCAGCCAAAATTCTGTCAGCCGAACGGGGCCGATGCTCGAAAAATATCTCGGTGATCTTTAATTCTAATGACCTGTTTATTTAGTACGAAATCTGTCCATGACCTCACTGTCCGGGAACTAATTAGTACTCCCTCTATACCCAGATTTCAAGTTGTTCTGGGCACTTGGCTAGTTTTCACAAATCATGTCGTTCTCTGCACCCGAGGGCAAGTTTGGACGCGATTACCCCTCCCTTAATCACGCGCGTGCACGCCGTCCGCATTGATCGCGCCCGTTCGTTACTCACGCCACCCGTTCGGCTTGTCGATGGCCGATCCAATAAGCGCTCGCACTGCCTCGCACTTCGTTCCTCGCCGCACGCCTCCTCGCCTCGCCTCGCCTTACATCCTCTTCGCGTAGCCTCGCTGCTCGCCGCACGCTGCATGTCCTCGTCGCCTCGCCTCGCCGCTCGCCGCACGTCCTCCTCACCTCGCCTCGCTGCTCGCCGCTCGCCGCACTTCCTCCTCGTGCTCGCGTTCGTCTCCTGCAGCACGCTTGCCATGGAGCCCGGCGCCATGAAGCTCGCTCCAACCACGGAGGAGGCGCTCGACTATGAAGTGGCGCCGAACTCAGAAGAGGTGGCGGTGGTTTCGGAGGAAGCACCGGAGTCCGAGCTGGCGCCCAACTCAGAAGAGGCGCTGGACTTAGAGATGGCGATGGACTCTGTCGAGGTGCCGCTGGTGGTGCCGGACAGCGTCGAGATGGTGGCAGACTCCGTGGAGAGGGACTTCGTCGAGTGTCTATGTCCTCGCTGCGGCACGATCCATGCTAGCGGCGTCTTCGGAGAAGAATGCTTCCAAGCTCGCCGCCGTGCTCGCATGTGTGCCCGTTGTGGCCTTCTCCACGAAGACTATGAGCTCCCAGCAAGGTTTTTTCACTTCATGGAGAAGTTTGATTGTGAGTTCTACATTCCGGATATGGAGAAACTTCAAATGAGAGGTAACACAATACTTCTTCCTGACGATGTTGTCGAGAAGTTGGAAGAGATCCACAACATGAAGAAGTTGGAAGATGCAAAGATGAAGCAAGATGAAAAGAAAGAACAGTAAGGTACATGTCTCATTTAGTCGTCCTAACATGCAAGCAAAAACTGATTGCTTCGGCTAGCATGCATTTAAACTAAGATACATTCATCTCCAAATGTGCATCTTCTTTTCATTTGCTCCATAAACTAACTTGCAGCTTCTAATTTGTAGGGAGACTAGCAATGCAGTCAGCAAGCAAGGAAGCTTCACAAGAAATTTGCAATGGCAGCCGTCCTTCTTTCTCTAGCCTATCTTTTTGCATGTGAGGAATTTTAAACTTGTTGCATCCTTTCACCTTCATTGCTTCCTTTAGAACACCTTGAAGTGTTACAAAAATCTTGTTTGCTTTCCATGGAGAGTACTCTAAGAATGCCTACAAAACATTAGTTCAAGAAATGAATCAATGAATGGACAATATTGTGTGAATGTCTATAAAACATGTGTCAACAATTGATCAACTTACTTGTTGGACAGCGGGAACTAGATCTTTTATTGTTTTGGCGTCTTTCTTGTATTGAATTGCTTGAATTGCTCGAAAGAAACCCAAATCTAAAATATTAAAATCCGGATAATTGGGTGGTTGACAAATGAGTCGAATATCAAAACCTTCTTGCTTGGCGGCCTCACAAAAAATAGGATCATCCACTTTCAAATGTGAAGGTGCATTGTCTTGTTGTATGAAAATTGGCTTGTTCACATCCTCTCTAGGCCATTTGGCTCTAATTGCCGGTAGAACATTGTTTATCATGAAATCTCTAATCACATCTCTTATGATTGAAGTAATTGGCTTGATTACTTCTTCTCCACGAAGACGATTGTGACTTCCTCTAATAGCTTGCCCATAAGTCACAAGTGGAAAACAACCAATTTTTCCATCAAAAACACACTCTCCATTTCTAAACCGTGGCCGAGCACAAACACACAAGAACATCAACCTAGGGATGTAATTCTTGTTCTTACAAGTACGGTGTGGATCATCTTCTTATGGTAGCAAGTAATATTTTTCAGATTTTTGAGAGAGGTAGAACCATTTTTCATCAATGAACACAAAGTCAAAAAAATCCTTAACTCTTGGATCATCAAACAAGCCTTGCTCAATCATATCAACACACCACTTCAACCTAGTCTTCTTGTTTGCGTCTGTGAGATATGGTTTGATGCTACTTGAGTGCCGCCTAATTAAACCTTTTTTCAAATATCTTTGTATTTTAGATTTGCTCATACCAAGTTTACTAGACACATCTTCTATTGTCATTCTTTGCTTGAGAGGGATGTTGCGCAAAAGTTCCAAATTAGGTGGGATTGCCTTGCGTCCACTTCTACCCTGCTTTGTACTAGTAACCACAACTGGAATATTATGATCAAGTTGTGTTTTACCTCTCCGCCATAGGCGTTGAACGGACCGGATGTGCACACCAAATTGAGCAGCAACGATGCTTGTATCCTTCATCCTTAGTTTCCCATTATTGCTTCTAGTCAACAAAGCTTGGTACACTTGTGCGCACTCGTGGTCTGTCATGTCCTTCCTTCGAGGATTTGGTTGAACGGTAGCATCATGAGCATGATCTAGTAGAGGAAAAACGAAACAAAGTATCCGTAGCATCATCAGCAAGCGCTTCAACAAAGTAGCCGTGGCTTAACTAAAATGAATAATGTGATTGTGTAAAAAAAAGTTACCAGCAAGATTTTATAGATAGTCGAAATTAACTGCACCGAACTCATCTAGTGGTAAGTTCAAATCAAGTACTGTAAAAAAAGAAACAATGATTTAAGAACTGAGCAAAATCTGCATATGCTAAGAAACACACAAGAGCGCTAAGTGATGCATTACCGCCATGGTGAACTTCTCGCTCGTCGACGTCGAACACGCGTTGTCGCCATCATCTTGTGGCTCGTCCCACGCCGAACACATTGTCGCTCGCCGTCATCTTGTGGTGCTGAACGTTGAGATCGAACCCAAAGTAACGGCTTCGTCATCTTCGGATGCCAAGACGTTGAGATCGAAACTAGGAATATAATCGAGACATTTGTACTTTGGAGTAGAAGCGGAAGGAAAGAAGAAGAAGAAAAGGCGGAGTAGATGCAGACGGGGAGCAACATCTGAACGCTTTATAGTATCGAGCAGCGTGTGTAGATGTGCCAACACGCGCGATAACACCGAAATGTTTGAAAGCCAAATGAACTCTTTGAAAGCCAACAACCAACACACAACACGAGAAAGCAAAACGGGAGCGAACGCTAAAAACACTCCTACACGCGCGCGTCACCTGTGCCAAAACGCTCCTGCACGCGCGCGCGAACGGCCAAACCCCGACCTCACGTGCCCAAACTCAAGCAGCACAACGCCATGCAACGAAGCACAGTGCCATGCAAATAATCTGGCGAATACAAAAAAAATATCACGGCTGCCAGCACTCGAACGGTGGGCGTCCGTCCTTGGGCCGCAGAGCCTTGACCACTCGAGCTACGAAAGTTTGCTGGATAAGCAGCACGCGCAGGCCTATTTAATAAGAGCAAGGATGGAAAATTAACTCTTAATTAATTTCTTTTTGGTATGTACAATCCTGTCTTAGACGACTTATTTTATGGGTATGGAGGGAGTAGTTTAGTACGTAGTACTCCGTAATAGCTATGTATATAAGTGAAAAAGTCTACCGCGATGTCCAATGACTGCAGTGAAAACCGGCCAAGTCAAGTCCGTGTCATCAGCCGGAGACTTTGGACGGTTCGCTCTCTGGCGCACATGCGCGTGACGCATTGCCGGATGGTGCGGCAGGGCGGAGGCGGACACTGAAACTGACCTGGTTGGTGAACCCGACGCCGAAGCCGAGCGGCATGCGGCCGACGATGAGCATGGCGATGTTGACGGCGCCACCAGTGACGGCGCCGCCGGCGAAGAAGAGGGCGCCGCCCATGAGCATGACGGCCTGCCTGCCCATGGCCCTGGTCACGCGGCTGGCCACGAGCGACGCGAACAGCCCGGCCACGTACAGCGACGACGTGAAGGCCGTCAGCGTCTGGCTGTCGTAGAGGCAGTACTCGTTGCCCTTGGCCGACGCCGCCATCCGCTCCAGGACGCGCGGGAAGAAGCGCCGCAGGAACGGCTCCATCTCGGAGACGCCGCCTTGCATTGATGATCGAATCAACACTCAACAGGGTCAGCTATAGTAGTCATCACCGTGTTTCAGTTCAGGAACAGACGAACAGGCTAGGCGTCCTGAGACGTTCAGAGTTCAGAGCAAGCTACCAACTACAGAATTTGTTGTTTTGAATGTAGAATTTTCTGCTGAGTTAACTCAACAGCTGTCCGGGAACTAATACGAGCAGGCAAGCAAAGTTGGAGCATGCATCGTTGTGCATGAGATGGAGCTACTAAAGCACTGAGCACAAGAAGCGGCAGTAGCACGCACGCACCTGAGATGCCGATGTCGTAGCCGAAGATGAGGCCGCCGGAGGCAGCCACAAGGCAGGTCATGAACACCGAGAGCGTCAGGCCTCCGCCGTAGTCCGTGGCAGGGCCATCGCTCGGAACAATGACACCTCCGGCCATCTCTCACCTATTCGTCCCCTGCCGCGAGAGAACAGAGAACCCTGTCCAATTCCTCTTCGCTTTGCTTCGGAGATGAAAGAGGCATATAGATATAGGGCTTCTCCTCAGCTTTAAACTGCTATCATATATAGAGCACAAGTTGAAGAAGTCCAACTAGTAATATTGAAATGGCGAGACCACGTTTATTGGTGCGAGCAATATTTTGACACTGACTGGCATGGCGTTAACTCAAATCATGCCATGTGCAAGAGCGCAAGTCAGGCAGTCAGTACTGAAGATATTATCTATATGACTCTATATCTATATATAATCACTACTCTCCGCATGCCTTATCTATCCCTATCTCTATCTCTCTGCTTCTACTATTGCTTCTATACTATGGTATCAGCGTAACGATTTTCTCTCTCTTTTAGAACAAGATCATAGAAATTTTTTTCACCTTAGGCCTTGTTTGATGCCAACGTATCAACCTCAATCCATATGTGTTGGGGTGGATTGATGTGAAATTTAGTTTTAAATTCAACATCAATCCACCCCAACACACATGATTTGAGGTGAATACATGGCTATCAAAGAACCCCTTAGTCCGCGGCAGGGCCATCGCTTGCTCCTCTCATCCCCTGCCGAGAACCCTGTACAATTCCTCTTCGCCTTGGCATTAAACTATCGTGTACATCACAAACTAAAGAAGGCCTATACTAGTTAAATATCCGAATGGCTAGAGGACGCTTCCACTTGTAGCTAATATAGTTAGTTGACTAATATTTAAAGACTAATATTAGCTAGATATTGTTTGTATCCAATAAGTAAAAGGTTGGTGCACTTATGCTTTTGTCTATAACACCCTTTCCTCTTTTAGAGGCTATTAGAAAGGCGTATGCATAGAGGTAGATGGTAGACAAAACTATCTTCAGTTGGTGAATCCAAATGAGATAATTGCTACTTATGCCCAGCTAACGGTATCTAGGTACATTTGAATCCACTTCGGCTATTTTTTAACAGCTAGTCCCTCCATCCCAAATTATAAGTCATTTAAATTTTCTTAGAGAGTCAAAGAATATCAAGTTTGACCAAAATCATAGAAAGAAATACCAAAATTTACTATACAAATATAATTAATAAATAATCTAATGATATTTATTTGGTATCATAAATATTATTATTTTATTGCATAAATTTGATCAAATTTAAGATGCTTTAACTCTCCAAGAATATTGAAATGCCTTATAATTTGGGATGGGGGAATAAATAATAGATGGGTGAATCTAAACATCCTCTTGGCTAATTTTTAATAGCTAACTATTACTCCTCCTATTCCAAATTATAAGTCATTTCAATTTTCTTGAGAGTCAAATAATCTCTTGATCAAATTATATAATAAAATAATAACATTTATGATATCAAATAAGTATCATTAGATTCTTCATTAATTATATTTTCATAGTATATCTTTTTTATATCACAAATCTTTGTAATTTTATCTATAATTTTGGTTAAACTCGAGATGCTTTAGCTCTCTAAGAAAGTTGGAATGACTTATAATTTAGAATTGAGGGAGTTGATGTGTGATCTAAAACACTCCCTTATACCTTAAGTCATGTGCAAGCCAGGCAGTTCGCACTGGAGATATTATTGTTAGGCAAACGTTGGGTTAAGAAAAGAAGACTACGCTGTCCAATCCGTCGTCTGGGCAACCAATCAGTGCATGATGGTTGTTAAGCTAACAAAGCCCATGTGCGTAACATAGATCATCATCACTGTCAAAGACTGCTGATCGATCCGAACTGTTTTCGTCGTGCCATATAGGTCATAGGTGCAAACATCCAGTGGCAATAACCCTGTTTCCACATGCTGTCTAAGGTGAATACCTCAACATTGCAACTATTAGCATGACTGGAAGCAAAACTGAAGCACTTGTGCCGGTGTCACGTCCAGACCGAGCCCATGGACTCGACCGGGTCGTGGCATCCGGCGGGAAGAGCAAACATACCGATCCAACAGCACCGCACGACGGTCGACGGCATATCAGACAAATGTACGGTTCATTCACAAATGTACGGTCGACGGCATATTATCAGACAATCATACCGATCCAGTAGCTATGCTGAGTCTGGTAAGTATTTTATCTGAGGATATTCCGCTACTCCGTAGTTATGACATGTACGGTTCGTTCACAAATCACCTACATATCAGACAATCGTCTTAATCTAAAAAAAATCAGACAATCATGATGCTTATTGCAGTAGCAATGCTTCACAGCTTAAGATACATGAGTGAACGGCAGTCATGTACACTAGGATGGACATATGACCAGGGAAAGGCCGCAGGATTATTGATTCAACATGGTGGAGGTACTTGTGTGTTCCAGATTTCGTCAACGTGCTTGCAAAGATGATACTTCCAGGCGTGAGCTGCAAGACGAGATTCAGTTCAAATTTCAAGACCAGAAAGACACCTATACTCCCATGAATAACCCATCAAAGGATTCACTATCAATTTGCAGATGTAATGCTTAGTTCCAGGCCAAAATATGGCATACTGATGGTAAGAAACAAATTTGGCAGTTTCTGCTGATCAAACTGTTGATAGTAAAAAGACTGGAATCGATGCTAACCCAAAATCATGAACTAGACTTGGTGAGAATAGGTAAACTACTAACAAGAAATGTGTTACAGACTCAGCAAGGTACCAAGTTATATTATGGTTTTCAAACCATAGTTATGGTCATCCAACAGCTCTAGTTGAATTTAGTCTTGTCTTAACCAGTCCAAATTACTCAAAAAATGCAAGTTCCAGGTTAAGATTGCCATTCTTCAGAAGTTAATAAATGATAAATGAAACAGTATTGGGTGTATTCAGTGTCGCATGACTAGTGTAGTACTGCTCAATAAGTAAAATCTGCCAAGGAGGAAACAAGTTATCACCTTTTTTTCAAACGCAAACAAGTTATCACCTTCTAGCCAAAAGCATAAGGGTCGTCAGCATATGGATTCAAGGAACCCTCAGAGAATAATTCACCAAGGTTTGCAGGATGTGCACGGGATCCTGTGGGAACCTGCAGGATGCAGCACATCATAACTGTCAGTGTTGCAAAAATACACAATGTATAGGAAATAATCATGTCTTGATTAGTTGCCCTTAAAAACTTTATAATTCAACTCCGTTACATGATGAAACACAACACAGAGCAGAGGTTACTTTGGCTCGATTCAGATGCATTTACTCCATCAGCAATCATAGGCAAAGTAGGAAAACAAGTAGAATTTAGCAGTCATGTAATGATAAATAAATAAAAAAAACAGTATGGAAGGAAGCTCATCAAAATACAGTCTCCTTGGGAAGTATCATGCTTACCACATCTTGAGAAATTGTTAGCTATGTCGTATGATGTCAACTATGAATGTGCTTATGTCACAAACTTTAATAGAAATAGCAATTATAGGAAATTACAAACAACATATGGACCATAGATTAGAAAAAACTAAAGTTCAAAAAGGATTTCTAAATTTGATTAGAACTCAACAATTGTACATAAAGCATTGATCTAACAGAACATAATAAGGTTCACTGAAAAATATTTTTTGTGGATTCTTTTATGTATGAATGTGAATAGAAAATAAGAAAATAGTCACCCTGCAGAACCATCATACCTTTTTTATTTTTGTAACATCTTTGTCAGCAGTATTATGCAAAGACTTCTGAGTGTTCGGTTCCTAAAAAATATGATAGAAAACATGGATGAAACAGATAGCTAGTAAAATGCATAGAAAATGTAAAGAATGCAGTAAAAGTTCATACACCAAACATGACAGTGCTCCTAGTTTTCCTGCGCTTTGTGATTCTTCCATTTGCTGTCTCAACTTCATATTCATGGTGTGTTACCTATTTTAACTAAAGAAGTGAGAAACCCCACAGGATAATATGAAATTCACAAATTATTGCATTCAGGAAAACATAATCTGACCTATGCTAGCTCAAGCTACAAAAAATAAAGAAATTGCTGAAGTAATCACCTTTCTATGTTTAGGAATGTCCTGAGACACTTTGTCTACCTTTCTCAACATGTTTGAAATTGGTGATTCTAAAATCCCAGGTAAGTTTACATCCTGAAACATAGCAAAAAAAGACTTGATTCCAACTTTCTCAAATAAGTGTATTTGCACAGCCTACCACTGAAAATAATGGCATCTTACCTTCCGTTTGGTCTCCGGACTTGCCAACTGGACCTCATGTTCTTTTCTTCCATATGGATCTCTCCTCTTAATCGACGAAACAGAGTATTCCTGAAAAATCTATGCACTTCGTAAGGACTGAGTAACATGTACAAGGCATCATGACGAGCTAAATTAGAAAGGAGAATCAACTGATGTCTCACTTAAACAGGGAAAAAACAAGATAGGAATTTGGACCAGCCTTGTGCTTCCAACATGTTGAAACTTCATATGCATTTTTCTAACAATTTTCAAAAAGCACTTCGCCAAAATCTAGATGGAAAACTACCTTGCGATTTAGCATATTTCCTTAACTATCAGACTATTTCCTTAGTAATTAAGATAGATGAACCAAAATGTTTTCTATTTCATTGATTCGTCTAAGAAATTAGTAATACCATTTAGAGAGAATTATGATCAGGATGACAAATATGAAACACAGCTACTAGTACTCCAGAAAATAGGATATACATGCATTGAATGAAGATTTTGTTCAGATATTTGCAAGCAACAAAAGTATAAGTAGGATTACAATCAAATGAAAATCACAATGTGCCAAAGCAACCCAGTGCAGAACAGGAGGGCTTGAAACCTACACTTTGTCCATAGTCCATGCATATAAAATAAATCAAAGCATATAATGAATTCAAAGAAGACAAACTGACAAAAGTGCACAGCAAACCATGCTGCAGTATGTCCATGTAAGATTTAAATTCAGAAATGAAACTAATGGTTATATTTAATTTCTGTTTGAATTAATGATTGCACGGCCAAATTGAAAATTAAAATAACATATTCTTTCATTAGTAGTGCTACTGGACCATATGTGCATTCCAAACATGATACTACTTTAACAATTATGGATGCTTTACACTTGCTTTTCCAAACAACATGAACTAAAAAGCATCGAAGGGTGTAAAACAGCTATTGCAATCCAATCAGAATAAGGCCCAATTAATTGCGTATGAAATAACAGGCCACAAAGGTGTAGAGCCATAGTAGTGTAATACCATTAAGTTATTTCGTCAATTTGATTCTCTCGGTAGGGGCAGAACACTATGTTAGAAATGCGGAACCTAGAAAAAAAAAATTTCTGATTAATGTAGAACCTACAAAAAACTATTTGCACAAGGTATCCATTCCGTGAGACAATTGACCTTACTTAGTGAGAACATATTGACTACATAATTATGTTCAAGGCTTAGCATGCTATGCAATCAATACACTAAAACAAACATTGAATGCATGTGACATGTACATCACTTAGTTATGAACGTATCCAAACTTGGTGAGTAGACAGAACCTTCTTAGAGTTCACTTCTTGATCAACTTGTTGACTTTCTCCCATTACTTTCCACTGTAATTGTAATAATGCTCTTTGCTTCTCCTCCTGCACCATAGAATGCTTTAAGTATTTACTAAAGTGACTATCTTCAAAAGTCAAAACGACGAAAATACCAATCAGGCAATCACCACCTTGGACTTCTGAAGCTCCAGTTCCTCCTGCATCCTCTGGCATTCTTCATCATGATGCATCCTTAGTGATTTTATTTGAAGTTCATGCTCTTTTCTGAGCAATGACAGCCTCTGCATATTTATACATATTTCATCAGTCTGGAAAACTTCCATGATCAAAGCTTGTTGCAGAATTTGTTACTGACCTCCCTCAATTCATTCTCAGCCTGAGACTGAATGCGCTGCAGTTCTTCTTTGTGATGAGCCTGGAGAATTGACTCTTTATGCTCATTATCCTGCTGAATTCTCGCCACCTGAATATCAGCAAATCAACCTTCATGGTCATTTCAGGGGGGGAATACACACTTTTAATCAAACTAGCTACTGTGTAGCATTTAATTATATCCTATTTTTTACACCATGTAAAAAACAGTTAAATAAGACTTCTTAAAAAAAATATTAGTATTTCACTAGTTATGCAATGTAGGTCCATAAGTTATAGCAATAACAGTTTGAAAGCCTAAAATTTTACAGGAACATAATTTTAAAATGGTTTATTGGATATCATGCTGTGGAATATCATATCTAAGCTGCTGCGAAACCAAACGGAAACCAAAGTGCTATTGGAGCCTCCAATTTTGTCAGCAGTATGCTATGAGCTGTGTGCCAGATGAATATAATGTAAATCACTAAACCCATCTTCAGTGCTCACCCTAAAGTACTAGAAATAATCTTTAAACTAATTGACCTTAGGATATTTTGGTATGGTTTTCTTTTTATCAACATGGCAAGGCCATTTAGGAACTGCAATTTGAAGAAAGGAACACCGAGGACGTCTGGTAACATTTTGATGTACTAAACCTTTTCAGCAGAGAACCCTTAAAAGAAAGTCTCCATGCAAGTCTGTATAAAAGTCCAAGCTATCAGCACCTTAACGCATTGGCTTACTTTGTCCAACTATTTCAGCACCAACATTTTGCATCATTCCATGTCATAACTCATAACACATGCACTAAGTCTTAAGGAAGAGTAAACTTAATTGCTTAAAATGAAGAAAACCAAACTCGTTCAACTTACCATTGTGCCATGTTCCTCCTTAAGGCAAATCAAATACCTCTCAGAATCATGCTTGTTCTGTGATATCTTTTCGTTGCATTTGTTTTCAATTTCCCTTATGAGCTTTTCTGCCTGAATTTCCAAACATTCATAAAAATTATGGCATAAGAATAACTTGAGTATTCTAGACATCTAGCACAAATAATTTCTGAAATAGAAGCTAACTTACCTTTTCTTTTTCGGCATTAGTAATTTCTGTCTTTTCAAGTTCATATTTCTTACGGATTTCATTGATCGCCTGTAAATTTCATTTGCAAAACTGTAACTTATTTGCGATCCAGAAGCCAAAGTACTCCGCAACTAATAGAAATGTAATACCAGGTCATTTTTGAGAGATAGCTCTTCCAAATGCTTGGATAGCTCTATCTTTTCACCTTCAAGCATGAGATCATACTGTTTTTTTGCCTCACTAAGTTGGCACTCTGTTGCAGAAAGTGATGCTTCGACCTGGGCATTGGATTCAAAAGGCTGTGTTAAGTACTTATGTTATCTATAAACCATCACATTATGATATTTAAAAGATCTAAAAAACACAAACCTGTAATTTCTGGTCCTCCAAAATCTTCTCTCTTTCTACAGAACAACGATAGAGTTGCTCCTTCTCATCCAGAACACTGCGAAGCTGGTTGATCTGATTCTCAAGTGTATTAACCTGTTGGTCACGCTTAGTTATCTCTCCTTGCAGAGATTCAGCATTATTAGATTTCTCTTCCATAATGGATTGCACTTGGCCTAGAAGCTCCTGATTATCTGATTCTAGCTTCAAAATCTTTTGAAGCAACTCTTGCTGCATATACAATATCATGAGTAAGGAAGCTTACACATCATCAATATTTTTTCAATAGCAAATGAATTTGTAACTGGGCCAGATAGTTGACAAACCTTGTGATTTTCAGCAAGGGTAGAATCTTCTAGCAACTTTTGAATTCTCCCTTGTAGTTCAGAAGCTAATTTTTCTAACTGATTGATGTTGGAGGCAGAAACTTCAGCTTCAGACTCTAATCTTCTGATCTTATCTTCAGCCACTTGGCATTCCTCAACATGTTGAACCATAACAATTTCTTGAGTTCTCTGCAACTCTATGAGTCTGGACTTCAGTTCTTCAATTTCAGTTTTCAGAGCATTGTTTTCTGACGTCAAATCTACATACTGGCTTTGGAGATGTTCAAATTTATCCTTAGAAGATCTTGTCATTAGCATTTTCTCCTCTTGGGCCATTTCATAGAACCTTTCAAATGAAGAAATCAGCCTAGACACATGACTTGACACAGAGGCATGCTCTTTATCTAGCTCAGTTACTTTAACCATGAAGCTGCTAAGCAATTCCTTAAGATCCTTATTGTCCTGGCATAGTTTTTCAATTTCCAGAATGTGTCCCTTATTCATAAGCTCCAAGCTGTTCTTTTCACTTTCACTGCTTGCTAGGTTTCCTTTCAGGCTGATACAAACATCATCTTTTAGTTTCAGCTCTTGCTCCATGCATTGCAAGCGGGAGTCAAGACATATCAAGCGGGATTTATTTTCCTCAACTGAACCCTCCAACTGCTTGATGAGGGAATCTGCATATATAAGTTAAGTTATATTATTCAGGTTAATACTGTTGCATGTTAGGCACACCTCAAAGTGGAAACCACTGGATGAAATATCGTATTCCATTTCCTCAAACTCCCACCACAGTTTGGGAATGAAACAAGTGGGATATTAAAATGAATGGAAAAAGGAACCAAAGAAGTCAGCAATTTTATGGACTTATTCATCACATTTCTACTTTTCTACTACTTGCCCATTCCCAGCTACTTTGTTCCTGTATCCTATTGATGCAGTTTAATTTTATGACCAATACCAATTCTGACACATCATTTGTTACAGAAAATTTAACTTATACCTTTTTCCTTTATCGTAGTATCATTTGAATGCAGTCGTTCCTTGTAACTTTGATCCATCTCTTCTTTCTCTTGTTTGATCTGCAACATCTCCTGTCGCCCTAAAATTAACAGGACAAGAGACTTTATTGTCACATTATTTCAGAAACACTTAGAACATTGCAGATTATTGTTTACTCAGATATTAATGTATCATTTTTTTTCTCGAACACGCAGGAGAGCTGTGTATCATTGTATTAATAGAAGAAGAGAGTCATACATAGACCCAAACCCACACACACACACCCACTAGTACATGGAAACTAAATCACCGGTTAAAACAAAAGGACGACCCAACAACTACAGCAGCCCATTAGGCTGCTCCTCCAGCAGTGAGAAGGGAGATCCCTTTTGCCCTGCCAGGCTCCACCAATGGGCCTCTTCCCTTGCCAAAGCCAGAACCATATTAACATTTGGGGTTGCACCATTGAAAACGCAGTCATTTCTATGCCGCCAAATGCTCCAGGCTCCAAGAATGACTAGAGAATTCAGACCCTTCCTCAGATCTCCACTAGCAGCATTATCAACTTTTCTCCACCATTCATCAAAGGAATGATCAGAAGGTTGTGGAGCAAGTGATGCAACGCCAAAATGTGACAGGAGGAGAACCAATATTAATGTATCATATCAGTGTACCCAGAGGTACAGAACATATGCACAGTTTATAGTATAAGGTTACTAAGTTGTTCATTCTAAACAGATCTCCATTAACTTGTGCTGGTTGTGGATTGTTCAGAGACCAACCAACCTGAAATTATCTTTTGTTCTGCATCCTCCAGTTTTGTTGATAAATCACGCAACAGGCAGTTGAATGCATCCAGATCTTTGGAATTCTTCCCAAGCATCTCCTCAAAAAACTTCTTATCTTCCTCAGCTGTAGGTGTATTGTTTCACCAGTGACCAGTCAGATTTGAACAACAGTTGGGCAAAGTAAATGTCACCATAACTTACCTTGTTCTGTCTGACTAGCTAGCTGCTGCAGTGTTTCAGTCAGTTGATCACACAAGGTCTTTGTTGAGGAGAGTTTCGAATCTAATCCCTGCCAGAGCTTCGAATCTTCAGTCTGCTTCACCTTAAGCTTTGCATTTTCATTCACAGCTTGTTGAAGTTTTCCCTCTAAAAGGTTTATCTGTTCTGTTGCTCTTCTCAATTTGACATGCTGAATTCATATAAAACAATATGCATCAGTAATAAGAAATCCTGACGAAGACCAAAATAATAGTTGGTGTTGAAAAACAATGATACATGCCTATAAACTCACTTCACACTTGAGCCAATTTAACCTATTGCACCAGAACATTTGCAACACGAAAGGTAACTGAGCAATGCCATATACTGTGTCACTCTGAATTTAATAGCACTATCCGCACCAAACAGATGTTTCTTATTAAAATACATAATAGATTCCTAAGAGGCAATGTCTCTTGTCTAGTTAAGTTCAGGATCAGCACAAAAGAAGAACATACAGAACAAAACAGTGACAAATGGGAAGGTGGACTTCCCAGATTTTGCAAGTGAGCAATGTTCAGAGCTCTTTCAGAGGAAAAGTATGAATTCAAAGGGTACATGCATCCAGAAAATTATTAGAGTGATCCTTTTTTTACACAAATGAGAGTGACTCCAGTTATACTGAAAAGGCACAACATCCAATTCCAACATACCAAAGGTCAAATTACTCAATACAAAATATATATGTAACTTTCAGGGAAATAAACAAGGGAAACACTGCAAAGAGAAAGTAAAATCACGAGCTGCAGACTAGCTATAGAGAGTGCAGGCATCGATTTCAAACAACCAGGGTAAATTTCAGGAATGATTCCAATTTATGCAATCGAATCATATGAGCTATATATTGAGCCAGTAAAGTTCCACCATAAGGCAAAAACGTTGCAAAATGTTGAGAAATCATACCGCCATTTCTAGATCAGTCTTCACTGAAGCCTGCTCCTTGACCAGTTTCTCTGCAACCAAACAAAAAATTCCAAGAGAAAACATCAGTAATGACACATAGATTAATATAGCTTGTCAAACCAAAGTGGAGGCAAAAACGAAATCAGAACCTGCTGTGATCTTAAGATTGGCGAAGCTCCCGTACGAAGTACCCCTAGTATCCGGGGAGGGCCTGGGGTTTGCGGCCTTCATGGCCGTCGAGGCGGATCCAGCGAGGGATCGGAACCCCTCGAGGCTCCTAAGCCCCGATAGCTTCTGCATCCTGTCAACGGTGGCGGACCCAATACGAGGACATGGGTGAAAAGTTAGTAGGCATCAAATAACCAAATAGCTTAGGGTTTGGGTGCTCGGTTTCGCACAATCGCACTGCAGGAAGGGACGAGAAGGGGTGGGAATACCTGATGGGTGCTCGTCGCCGGAGAAGAGACCGACGAAGGCCTCGGCACCTGGCGTAGGGCGGCGGCGGTAGCCCACACCCAGTCGTCGCAGAGAGAGAGAGAGAGAGAGAGAGAGAGAGAGAGAGCACCGAGCACGCGGGTGATGGTGAATCGTGAATGGGGATGCGTGGGGAGAAAGCGAGCAAGCGCGCGCGCACGCGCACGCGGGGTGAAGTTAAACGAATGCAGCGCGCGGCGGACGGCGGCAGTACAGTCGGTTCTTCGGCCCAGGCAGAGTGCCAGCACGCGGGCCTTCTCCTGGGCCGTTCTTTTTCACTTTTTTTTTTTGCAATTTCTCTTTTTCGTATTTCTTTCTTTTTTTTTCCTTCTTTATTATTCTTTCCGTGGGCGTTACGTTGCCAATGGTCAGCGAAACATTTTGGTTTCAAATAATTGAAACAATAATAATATTTATTAGCACATTAGATAAACAAATTGGTATAAAAAACCTAACTAGTATAATTAATAACCTTTAGGCCTTGTTTAGATCTTTGTAATTGAATTCATTTAATCATAATTTAGCCACATATTAATTAAGCTAATATGTTGTATATGGATTATATTTGTATATTATTATTGGCTATACGAGAGATACTTATGTGTTGCATTTCTGCCGTAGGGGAATGAGTTAAAGAGCGTGTTATGAGTTACAAAGTAGAAATATAGAATATTGATCTATAGAATCAATTTCCATCTCTCACCCTATGAATTTGAAATAGGATTATACGTGGACTTTGAAAAGTGGTGGAATGTCAAATTCCAAACCAAATAACCTAATTTATTAAGTAAATTTCAATTCCTCCAAATAAAAGGATCCGAACGGCCCTTAAGAATAAAGACTTATCACCAACCAAAACACATGTCTCGCTGTAACTGTAAAGTTACATTTTATTCGGAATTGATTGCTAGCCCTCTCCTATTGACATGGTAGACCTTTATTGTGTTCTTTCCAAACTCCATTCTCTTGCCGAACTTAGTGCCTGCTTGATCCCCTTCTCTAACTTTAACTTAGAGCTCTAAAAACTTTAGAACATTTTAGCTCACTTTTGATGTATAAAGCTCTAATATGAGGTGGGCTAGAGTTTAGAGCTAACTTTAGACCACCTATTTGGATATTTTAGCTCTAAAGTTTAAAATAGGGATCCAGACAGGCCCTTAAGAGTTGGATGCATGATTTGTCATAAAAGGCGTACTTCCTCTGTTAAAAAAAATGTCGTCTAGGATTTTGTATTGGTCAATTTTTTTTTTAAAAAATGATTAGGTTAGTAGAAAATATTAGTAACGTTTATATCTTCAGATAAGTTTATCATAAAGTATATTCAACAGTTAGTTTAATAATACATATTATGCATCATAATATTAATAATCCATTATATATATGGTCAAATTTAAAAACAATTTCTTTAAAAAAGTAAAAAAATGAGAATGTCGAAACTAAGAGTAACTTCAAAAGTCATTTTATATCATTCCCTAGATTTTAGCAAAAAAAACATCAAACAACTTTTGTACATCCTCTATTCTAGATTTCTTGCTAAACAAAGATACAGTGTGGGGTTGATTTTGTAGAATGCATACAAGATATAGACAAGCTATCGGAGGATGAAAAGATATGGAGAGCGATTTTTGTTCAAATGGCTCTCCAAGTGATGGCTTAGACCTTGTGTTGAATCTCACTTTAAACTTTAGACCATTTAACTTTTAAGAAATATTGTCTAAAGTTTAGCCAACCTTACAAAAACTTTACCACTCAAGTGACAAAATGATCTAAAATTTTAGTCTTTAATTTTTTCTAACTAAGTCTTAGACCATAAGATCTAAAACATGCGTTTAAAATGTGAGTTTTAAAAAGTCTCTTCAAGATGCTAGTTAGCCACCGTAACAACCAGACACGAAACCTCTTGTTATGATGTATTTTTTCTGCTCCTTTTTAAGTGTTATCATGGTATTTGTGCTGGCAAAACTTTTAAAAATTTATTAGATTTATAAAATATATTAGCAATATTTATATTTTCAAATAAGTTTACTTTATATATATATATATTTGATGAAAGTTAAGTACGTTTGATTTCTTGGAAGGTGGAAACCACATTTAGAACATGTTAAAATACATATGACTAGTTATTAGTTGAGCTAAAAATTAATTTACATTAGCTGTTATTGGCTAACAAATAGTTAAAGACTTGTCTAAAAAATTAATCCACCTATTAGTCATTCTATTTAGATGTATTAGAGTTAATTTAAGTTAATTTTTAGCTAGCTACTCAATCCAATCAGGCCCTGAAGAAGGGATGCAGGGAGTAGTTCCATGACGATGAATTCCTAAGACCACAGCAGCCACAAAAACCGCTCAGATCTGCGATAGAAAGAGAGTAAAGAAATACTGATAGGCCCGGGTCCCACAGATCCAGTGAAATGCTTGCCCACGAACAGAAACAGGCAAACAGCAAGAACCACCAAGGCGAGTCCGATCTAAATCAAGCGAGTCCTCCCGTTTCATCGCCTGCCTGCGAAAAAGGCGAGAAATCCCCAACGGAAGGAGCAGCAGCGCCAGTGCTAGTAGCAGAAGCAGCAGCAGCGATTCCTTCCTCAATCCTCGTACCTTTCGCCGCGCTCGCCCACTCGGATCGAAACCCCTAGGGTTTCACATCGGCCTCCCGCCACTTCCTATCCCCCCCCTCCGCCGCGCGCGCGCGCGGCGAGCCACCAAACCCTAGGACGGCAAATCCGGTGCGATCGCCCACGGTGGAGGCCTCGTCGGCTGCCGAGAGGAGCCGCTCAGGGCTCGGGTCGGGGTTCCGGTACCTCGCCGGCGCCGCCTCTGGGTGGTGGGACCGGTGGATGGTCATGGGAGCCAGCGGCTCCAAGCTTGAGAAGGCCCTCGGTGACCAGTTCCCGGAAGGCGAGCGCTACTTCGGCCTCGAGAACTTCGGCAACACCTGCTACTGCAACAGTGTCCTTCAGGTATGGATACATGCCAACAGCTAGTAGATTTGATGCTTGGTTATGCTTGGCTTGATACTGGTAAGCGCGGTAGTGTGGTGAAACGGCCTGGTTGGTGCTTTTATTTATTTGTTTAGGCGGCAGGTGTGTATATGCTAGATATTATGCTGTTCTAGCACTTGCTCGCCAGATTCGAGATATGCGTTTGTAGTGTGATGTGTGTGCTGATATGATTAAAATCCTTTGACAAAATCAATCGAAACTGTTTGTATAGTAGTTGCTCAATGCATTCGATATTGTGCTACTGTAATGTAACATATGTGCTGATATGAGAAGTCCTTTGGTAATGTGAGTCCAAACTGTTCTGAGCTGCCTGACATATGATTTTTTGGTTATGCTAACTCTGTACCATCATTATTAGCTTCATAGCCTAATGAAGTATATATATAAGAAGTTACGAACGCATAGATATCCATCATTTTGAACACTTGCCATTGTAGCATGCTTACAGACTACGGCCAGTAGCACAGTACTTGTAGTTGGGATGTAAGCGCAATCCTCTTGCATCTCAGGACCACCCATAGGTTTGAAAATTTTAATCTGGCCGTGGCATGTAACTGAAATATTTAACAAGAGGTGTTTATCTCTCCCGCGTTTTTTTTGACAGATTTATAATCTTCATGCAAAGACTGCTTTGCAATTAGGGGTGTCTAGATAATGCCTGCATGTATCCGTTTCTTAGTTGAAAACTGCCACTCTGGAAATTAATTGCTTCTGACTTTCCGTGATTCACTTGCCTTGATTATTTAATGTACCTTTGGTCTAGATCTCCTTGAGCATGAACCCAAACCATTTGCACCAGGTTGTCGAGCTAGAAGAGCGACTTGAATACCTAAGTTGGAATATGTCATCTACTCAAGTCATTTAATCAAAACTTTGTTTTGAAAACCTGTCTACATCTTCTTATAGCATATTAAGTAGCCAGTAATTCACAGGGTTTCCTTTTCTTAGTGGCTAAATTGCCTATATACCACTCACAGAACTGTTTTGCAAACATACCACTTCCTATATCTGGATTACTATTTTAGCATTAGACCACCTCCCTTTTCACCCATCCCTCTTGCATCGTGTTCCTTCTCTCTGGTCATTCTTGCCCTCCTGAACCCACCCCTGCAGGCCTTGATACCATGGGGAATACCATGCCCTTCCGCTGGTACCACCCCAGCTTCTTCCCCACACCTTTTGCCACTCCTCACCACTGCCGCACCACAGCAACTCATCAATTCAAGTGTCTCCTAGGAGTCAGAGCACAGCGCATCATGAAGGCTATGCTTCGGCTGCTGGTTCAAGCTTCCAACCTTCCACTGTATGGGGCAGTGGCTTCGTTGGGGATGGCCAGATTTGGCAGTGGCGGCTGCAGGAGGCTTGGATCTGGTTGGGAGGCACTGGTGTTGGGATGAGTTCTGACACTGGCAGGCTTGGGGCGAGAAGGATAAATGCTCCATGGAGGAGAAGTGTTGGGAAAGACGAGGAGAGATGAAGGCAGTGTTGATTGGATTTTGGCCCTTGTTTAGTTCGCGAAAAGTTTTCCCAAAAAGTGCTACAGTACCCATCACATCGAATCTTGCGATACGTGCATGGAGCATTAAATGTAGACGGAAAAAAAACTAATTGCACAGTTTGGTTGGAAATCGCGAGACGAACATTTTGAGCCTAATTAGTCCATGATTGAACACTAATTGCCAAATAAAAACGAAAGTGCTACAGTAGCCAAATTTCCAACTTTTTACCAACTAAACACGGGCTTGGATCTATTCTGTCCTTTCGATCTTCAATCGGTCAATCCTATATATAGGAATGTGGTACGATGGAGCAAAAGGTGAA